CCAGCTGGAAACCACGAAAGCCCTTTCTCTCCGTACACCGCCCCACCGTCTATGCTGCCATCGATGGCGACCGAAGACCTGGCGCGGAAGACATTGGCCCAGGCACTTGCAGGCGCCAGCGAACAGCTTGCCTGATCTCGACTTTGGCGGGGCCAAAGGCAGATGCGATGGAGGCTACCGACCAGAGCGCGTCTGGCACCACTCCTAAGAAAGAGGCGTGTATCGAAGATGAGACTCAGGATGTCATAGGTATCATGGAGGTGACAGTGCAGAGTAAGTCTAGATCGTATGTTCAGCTTTACCGCTTGACCAAGGAGCTCAGCGAAACTCATGGCTACCACGGTCTTAACAACCTCCATACAAGAGCGTACATGCTCATGCTCATCCCCGTTGACACCGTCAACCTTCAATACTGCAAACGTAAGTTCCGTGCAGGACCTTGGCATGCGCGAATATTGACTTAAGCGGCTACATCGGTCGCACTACATCCCAGCATATGGTGCACCTGTCCATGCCGATGACCAGGCTGTGACAAGTCCGCTGAACAGAAGCGAGGAGGGTTGATAGGGGCACCCTGAGGCGGCCCGCCCTAGGTCTTATCACAGGAGACGGAGGGATGGAATTGATAGCGTTAGTATGGAGGGGTCATTCGAAGCCATTGGCTCTTGTATCATCGATATTACCAGTGTACCTCGTTGATATAGTGCGTCACACACTCCGATAGGAACTACTTCCTTCGGGCATTACCACAACAAGTGAAGATTATGTACAAGTAAGCCTTAGGTATCAAGAGCCTGCAAGGAGACACGAGGGGTAACTACTTATGCAACCTTGATCTATCGAACATCGGCTGGGCAGGTACCATGCGCCAACATCTCGGCAAATTGATGGGTGGGGACTGCACAGGCAGCCGGGTCGTCGGCAGCCAGCTCGTCGTCGGCAGCCAGCTCGTCGGCATTCAGCTCGTTGTCGGCATCCAAATCATCGTCGTCATCCAGTTTGCCAACATACTCTGCGGCACCTGATAAATGGTACACGCGACAGCAGATCGCGTGAATGTTCAGATAGTTCGCAGACGGCAGTTCGAGGTCAGACTCAGTGGTCTTGAACTCGATGACGCGGGGAGTCTTTCTGCTCTCGAAAAGTGCAGACGGCAGTGATGTCTCGACCAGATAGCGGTTCGGTGTCTCCTAATGAAGAGCTGGTAAGGAAGCCTTCGAGGGTGGGAAAGGCCTTTGCGCAACTCACAGTTGGGACGAACCAAAGCTCGAGCTCGTCAAAGAGCGAGTGCATGGTGAGCTCTAGAGTGAGTATGTTGCGTAGAGAATGAATTTGAGTGCCCTTCAACTCCTCCTGAATCTTAGGGCAGCCGAAATTCTTGATAATAGCCCATGTTTTGGCTATGTCTTGACGCTAAAGAGACAGGGGAATCAGGCCGAGATTAAGACATTCTGAATCCACACACCTTCGTCTCGCTATCAGCATCGACAGCGAGACATTCTGGGAAAATGTATGCGCAGCGCGTTGCCACGGGTAAGATTCCGGCGTCGATCATTTCGCGGCACAGTGCCTGCATGGAGCTCGCCGCTGTAGCATCGGTCCAACCGGTTACCATGCAACAATAGTTGTCGCGAACAAGGGCCCAGCAAGGAATGAGAGAGCAGTTTGCTTTGTAACGATGGAGCTCACATGGGACTTTGCCCGGTAACGACTATGGTACATTAGCTTCCGCAAGCTTGAAGTTTCGGGAATAGCATATATGTCCCGATAGAGATGACGAGGAAAAAATTCGATGTCGATGCTGTGTGTAGCGACTACAAAAATGAGAAAGTGATAGCGACGGCAGTTGGATGAGACTTACAAACGCGGATGAAGTACTTGTCGTAGAATTCGCCCAGTTCGACAAGTGCTTGCTCATCTTGACAAGAGTCGGCCAGCTGGGCGATGTAAGCTTGAGCAGCACTGGTGGGCACAACGGTTAGGAGGTGTCCTAGAACCCGCACGTTGACGAGCTTCTTCTGCAGCACCAGGTCTGCGCTAGCGGTGTTGTTCTCCAGGTCGCGCATGATGATTGCTTCCGCTTGTCTACATTTATTCATTGCTCCGACGACGGTTGGTGACTGGTGCACGAAGTCGCTAGGAAGGGGCTGTGGCTCATACGACGTTGCCATTGTAGAATCGAGCTGAGAAAGAGCAGGAAGCTGAGCTGGCCTAGGCGGAGCGGACGTCAGCCTACGCCACCGAACATTTAAGGACAGGGGCACAGACTCGTTGCCGCCGGCGCCACCCATATCCGAAGTTTCCGCCGGCGCGCATCCCTTGCCCGGTGCAATTAACACCTTTTGACGTGTATGGGCATGCTTTGGCAACGGCTTCTCCAGCTATCGCTTTGAGGCCCGGCTAGTGTTAGCCCGCAGAGCCTGGAATACTCGCTCGCGACTCTCTCGTGCGTATACAACTCCTGCATCCTGTACAGGCCCTCGATTGTCAGGTTGAAGCCGTGCTTGTGCCATCCGACGCCAAATTGCGCGTGCCGGAGGTCAGCTTATCAAGCGAGTGCTGTACGAGGTTCGTCTTCATCAAGTAGGGAATGGCACTCTTCGTATAGCGAGCAATCATTGATAGCGACTGTTACTTGGCCCGTCGTCCTGCTATATGGCAGCCAGAGCTCGGAGTAGGCTCACCAAGAGCTTCGGCGAAGCACTCGCGTGGCGCACGCAGACGTCTCAAGCAAATAAACACCATGTAATGCCTGCGGCATTCTATGTGGCAA